GGTGCAAGAGAGGCGGAAAAATCTAAGTGAGTGAGGGGGTGTGTGAAAAATGAATAAGCATAACCCTAAAATTTTAGTGTGTATTTATATAGGTACATATAATTTCGGATATCGGATCGGATCGGATTAAAATCATACCAATCCGAATCCAATCCAAAAATCCGAAATTTCATAAAACACAATTCGTATCCAATCCGAAAATCCGAAATTTGAAATCCGAAAATCCGAAATAGAGTGGATCGGATCGAATTTCGGATATCCGATCCAAATGCACAGCCCTAGTCATGAGCATCTAATCAACTGTCTAAAGGTAGGAAGAGTCCACATAGACTACTACAAGATCCAATACAAATAAAAATGAAGGTAGGAAGAAGAAGCACTGGGCTGCGAACGCCGAGCAGCTACCTAGTGAACTCCGCACAGTCTGCTAGAAGCAATCAACCTTCGCTAGCAGGGCCCGAAACTCCTGAATCTGCATACATGGTGCAGGGAGTAAAGTGAGTACGCTAACTCAGTGAGTAATAAAAATAAATGAAGACTGAGCGATAAGAAAACACGTAAAACACAACAAAATACTACAAAGAGGTAGTGTAAAACTAATACAATGCAATAAAACTAGTGAAATCCTATAAAAATACCTTAGTTCAGTATAAGCTTCTTTAAAATACCTTTTTAACAATTAAACTAGTAAATAAAAAGCAGCGAGAAAAGATAAACACATAAAATCAGCCCCTCGGACACAATATCAATAGAATCAGCCCCTCAAGCAATATCATGGAACAACACCAGCCCCTCGGGCTATATCACATATCACACTGTGTACCCGCGCTCACTGGGGGTGTACAGACTATGGGAGGGTCCCCTTATGGTCCAAGCACAATATCAAGACATCTCGTGGCATAATCAAATAGGCTCTCGGCCTCATATCAAGCCACCTTGTGGCGTACATTTCAGGCCCTCGACCTCATAATCATAATCAGTACAACACTATTGCGGCGTAAAGCCCTATCCCATAATAATCCTCACAACACAGGCCCTCGGCCCTACTCAGTCAGAAATCTCTAAAAGACACTCGGGCACAGTAAAGTATGATGCTCAGCCCAAAATATCATTTAAAGTGTTAAAACAGAGTAAACATGGCTGAGTTATGAAAATTGTAGAATATAGCATGACTGAGTATATATATAAAATCAAAACAGTGAGGAAAGAGCAGTAAAAATCCCCTAAGGGTCCAAAATAGTTTGCACGAGGCCCAAATATGATGATAGCAAACAGTTTTCAATCAAATACGCTGTTAAACAGTCATACGGAATGGACTAAGTCACAATCCCCAATGGTGCACAGTCCCAGGCTTGTCATCTAGTGTGTGCGTACCTCAATATAGCACAACGATGTGAAATCCGGGGTTTCATACCTCAGGACAACATTTACAATTATTACTCACCTCTATCCGGTTCAAACTCTAGCCCGTGATGACTTTGCCTCTCGGATCGGCCTCCAGATGCTCCAAATCTAACCAAAATAAGTGCAAAACCATCAAAATATGCTAAGGGAACAAAACCCACTCGAAAGAAATCAAATTACAACACAAATCCCGAAATTGGCCAAACCCGACCCCCGGGCCCACGTCTCGAAATCCGATAAAAGTCACATCAATAGACTCCTTATCAATCCCCGAGTTCATTCATATCAAAAACACCAAAATCCAACCACAAATGATCCCTCAAATCCTAAATTCTAGGTCTCCAATTACAAGCCCTAGTTCTTCAATATTTAGGCTTAAATTCTACAAATTCCATGATTAATTAGGTGGAAATCACATTAGGATTGAGTATTAAGTCCATAAATCTTACCTCCAAGTGTTCCCCATTGATTCCCTCTTCAATCCTCTTCAAAAAGCTTCAAAATCACGCAAAAATGGAGGAACTTAGACCTAAAATCGCGGAAATGGATCTTTTAAACATTCTGCCCAGCACTTAAAACTTCTTAATCACGATCGCGGGACCTCCATCGCGATCGTTAAGCACAAGCTTCTTAGAACCCAAATTTACCCTATGCGAACACGTCATCTCCCACGCGAACGCGATGCTTAGACATCCTACACCTACGCGATCGCGGACAAGGGACCGTGTTCGCGATGCACAAACTCATGGTCAAGCTCTAGTCCACTTAACCATACGCAAACGCGCGTTCGCAAACAATAACATCTCAGCCTCATGTGATCGCAGCTCCAACTATGTGAACGCGAAGAACAACTTGGACTGCCCCTACAAAAAGGTCTACGCGATCGCGAAGAAGGAAAACCTGCAATAGCTAAAGCCAAAAATCTACAACTTCTCAACTATGCATTTTGGTCCGTTTAACAACCCGAAACTCACCCGAGGCCCTTAGGACCTCAACCAAATATTCCAACATATCCCATAATATCATTCAAACTTGTTCCAACCTTTGGATCACTCAAAACAACATCAAAACACCAAATTTGCATGGGATTCAAGCCTAAGAATTCCAAAATCTTCCAAATTCCGCTTTCGATTAAAAAGTCTATCAAACCACGTCCGAATGACCTGAAATTTTGCATGCACATCCCAAATGACACATCAGACCTACTGCAACTCCTAGAATTCCATTTCGATGGCTATATAAAAATCTCACCTATCAACCGGAAAATGCCAAAATTCTAATTTTTGCCAATTCAAGCCTAAATCTACTCCGTACCTCCAAAACACATTCCGATCACGCTCCTAAGTCCCAAATCACCTCTCGAAGCTATTCGAACCATCAAAACTCACATCCTAGCCCTTTAACTCATAAGTCAATATCCGGTTGATTTTTTCAACTAAGCTTACTCAAAAGAGACTAAGTGTCTCAAACCTTACCAAAACCTTTCCGAACCTGAGCCAACCAACCCGATCACACATAGTACCGATAAACAAGGCAATAAGAAGTAGAAATTGGGGAAACAAAGCGGTAACTCATGAAACTATCGGCTAGGTCCTTACAAAGGACCTGATACCCTTATAGTTCCCTCATAGCAGTATGAGGTCAATTGGACACAACTAGAAGCGATGTTTCTGCCTGCACTACACTGTTTCCAGCGGTCACTTGTCCTTTGACCAATTAAAGTGCTTACATCATTAATGTGATGTCATCAAGGTGTATTAGCAAGGAGGTTATATCAAAACATCACTTGAACACTTGAGAATTCACTTCAAGCATTCAAGCCTTCTGCAAAATAGTGAAATTAATTCTCAAGAGCTTGAAGAATAAAGTTAAACGCTACTACGGACCAGTTCCTAAATCTAGTATTTTGTTATCCTTAGTTGAGTTGTAACTTTATGATTGTTCTTATTGTAATTCCTAAATTGCTTATCTAGAAGCGCTGATTAGGAACCCCTTTGTAAAACCATAAACTCTCTGAGTTTGTGTTGTGACTAGAGTTAGTCATAAGTTAAAGTCTTTGTAACTAGAGAGTGACAAAGTGGCTTGTGGTAAGAGTATCACAAGTTAGTTGAATTGAAGTCTTTGCAATGGAGTCATTACAAAGCGGCTTGTAATAGGTGTTTACAAGTTAGTGAAGTTGAAAGCCAACAAGTGTAGGTCGTGGTTTTTGTCCCCTTGAGTTGGGATTTTTCCATGTAAAAATCCCGTGTCTTATTTACTTACCGTTTCATTAGCATTCTCAGTAAAACCCTATAGAGGACCAGGTGCTCTATTATTTGGTGGACTCATATAAATTAACAATTGGTATCAGAGTAGGTTCCTCCTATCAGGCTAACACCTAGGAAGGATCTGTATGGCTGCTCCACCAACTTTTGAAGAAGGTCAATCTACATACAGACCACCCAGGTTAAATAGACAATACTATGGGTGGTGGAAGATAAGAATGCATGATTTTATCATGGCTGTGGATTCTGAGTTATAGGATGTCATATGTGATGGCTCTTACGTCCCAACAAAGGTACTTGAAGAACTTCCATTCTCAATGCCAAAAACTAGAAAAGAATACACCGACGCAGACAGGAAAGCTGTGGAGCAGAATTTTCGTGCCAAGAAGATTTTGGTATGTGGAATAGGACCTGATGAATACAATAGAATCTTTATTTGTGACACTGCTAAGGAATATGGGAAGCTTTGAAAATAGCTCATGATGGAACTACTCAAGTAAAACAATCTAAGATCGATATGCTCACTACCGAGTATGAACTCTTTAGGATGAAGGATGATGAATCTATTTAAGATATACACACAAGATTCACTTCCATTATAAATGAATTACACTCACTTGGTGAAACCATTCCTAGGAACAAGCTAGTGAGGAAAATCCTCAGTATCTTGCCTAGTTCTTGGGAAAGCAAGGTGAATGCTATTACTAAAGCAAAGGACCTGTAGGAGCTGACCATAGACGAGCTGGTTGGAAATTTGAAGACCTACGAGATGAAGAGGAAGATAGACAGTGAAAGAAGAGAACCAAAGAAAGAAAAGAACCTGATACTCAAAGCTGATAGCAATGACTCAAGTGAGGAGGACAATGAAATGACTTACTTAACCAAAAGATTTCAGAAGATGGTCAGAAAAAATGGAGGAATGCTAAAAAGGGGCAGCTCTAGCAAACTAAAGAACTATAATCTCTGTCATAAGTGTGGAAAGCCTGAGCACTTCATCAAAGACTGTCCTCTCCTGAAGCAAGAGTTCTCCAACTACAACCCTGAGAAAGCAGCTAAGAGGAACTCAGTTCCTGACAAGGACTTCAAAAGAAAGAGATCCACTGACAATGTGGTGAAACAGGCTCTTGCATCATGGGGAGACTCCTCTAGTGAGTCTGAAGATGAAACTATGCTGGTGATAGCTCCATAATGGAAGTTGAAAGCGAGAAAAATGAATATGATTCAACTTTTGCTTTGATGGCCTAATCAGATGATAATGAAGACGATGACAACAGTGAGGTAAATTTCAGGGATGTTCAGAGAAATCTGAAATCCTACTCTTCTAAGAAACTTATGTCTTTAGCTAATGTATTGATTGATGCCTATCGTAGTCTTGTGGAGGATAAGGATGCCTTGATCTTAGAACTAGGGGAAGCTGAACAAACCAGAGATGATCTGGTAGTGTGTGTAGTGGATCTGAAGGAAACCATTTGTGAGTTGGAGAAAGAAAAGGATGTGTTAACCAAAAAGATTGCCAACATAGAACATGAAAGAGATGACTTAGTGGTGGTAGTTGTTGACCATAAGGAAACTATTGAGAACTTCAGTAGAGAAAAGGAGGCCCAAGTGAAAAGAGTGACTGAAATTGAGGAAGAAAGAGATGATCTCTTGGTAGTAGTTACAGACCTGAGGGAAACAATAGAGGGAATAGGAACTGAGTCTAATCCTGAAAATACTGGAAAAGGAAAAGAGGTAGCCAGTGAGGAACACATTAGGCTTGAAAACGAGTTGAAAGCTGTGATAACTAGGTTGTGTGTTGAAACTAAGAAAAACAAGCACCTCCAAACTGAACTAGAAAGAGTAAAAAATGATCTTGAAAAGTCCCTAAAGTGGACCTGGTCCTCAGAAGCTATCACTGCTATGTACGCTAATAATGGTGGAAACAGTCAGGGAATAGGGTTCCAAAGGGAGAAAACCCCTTACAACCTACATAGCAAGTATGTGACTGTACCAGAAAACTGGTTGTGTACCCACCCTGGGAACAATGGACATTTCAAGGAAAACTACCAAGCCAGGGTCCAGTCCATCCAGAAAAACAAAGTATTTGCTGAAAATGTAACTACTAAAAAGGGACCAGGTTCCATCCACAAAAATACATATTGCTTGTATGGACTAAGAGAGCTCATATTCATCCTCTTGCCTACTACAAGGGACCCAAACTTACTTGGGTTCCTAAAACTAACTCTTGATCTCCTTGTGCAGGGAACAGTGAAAGGAAGCGGTCAACAATGGTTCATGGATAGTGAGTGTTCAAAGCACATGACTAGGAGCACCATGGACTTTGTTTCACTAAAAGCCTTGCAATGAGGGAGTGTATCCTTTGGCAATGGGAAAAGGGGTATATTCTTGGAGTTGGAAAAGTCAGGAAATCACTCACTCACTCTATTGAGAATGTGTACTAGGTCAATGGTCTAAGTAGTCTCTTGAGATTCTCTTAGATCTGTGATAAAGGAAACAAGGTAGAATTCTTGTCCAAGATATGTACAATTACTAATCTGGTAACTGGTGAAGTGGTACTTGTGGCCAAGAGATACAAGAACATCTATGTTGCTGATTTCGAGTCCTTACAAAGTGGTGATCTGAGTTGTCTGAAAGCTGTTGATGATGATGTTGAACTCTGGCACAGAAGATTGGGGCATGCAAGCTTCTCTCTTCTGAACAAACTAATTCAGAATGACCTGGTCCATGGTCTGCCCATGTTAAAGTTCAAAGTACATAAAGTTTGTGATGCCTGTGTTAGAGGAAAGCATGTGAAGTCCTCTTTTAAGTCTAAAAAGGATGTAAGCACCTCAAAGCTACTCGATCTTCTGCATATGGACCTATGTGTCCCTATGAGAGTGCAAAGCAGGGGAGGAAAATGATACATTTTTGTTTAGAGGATGACTACTCCAGATTCACATGGACTCTGTTTCTTAGAACTAAAGATGAAACCTTTGAGGTATTTGTGGCCTTTGTGAAGAAAATCTAGGTGAAGATGGAGTCTAGAGTCGCATGTATTAGATCAGATCATGGAACAAAATTTGACAATGCCAAATTTGATGAGTTCTGCAATGAAAATGGCATCACTCACAACTTCTCAGCTCCTAGGACCGCCCAACAAAATGGAGTAGTAGAAATGAAGAATAGAACTCTTGAAGAAATGGCAAGAACAATGCTGATCGACAGTGGAATTGCAAAGAACTTCTGGGCTAAAGTAGTCAATACTGCCTGCTACTTGGTGAACAAGTGCATGATCAGATCACTCCTAAACAAAACTCCCTATGAGTTGCTGAATGGAAGGAAACCCAAGCTGACTCACCTAAGAACATTTGGGTGCAAATGCTATGTTCTCAACAATGGAAAGAATCAGCTTGGTAAATTTGATGCCAAGAGTGATGAAGGAATATTTCTAGGCTACTCTTCTCAAAACAAAACTTATAAGATATACAACAAGCGGATTCAATGTGTTGAGAAAATTGTTCATGTTATTATTGATGAGTCCTATCCCTCCTATGAGAAGAGTGTTGAAGAGGATCAAGATGGAGAACCCTTACTAGTCCCTGGTGAAGTCATTGACATGACAAATGGAAAGACAGATATGATGAGCCAAGTAAAAGAGTCGAGTGAAGACGATGCTGCCTCTTCTTCAATGGAACCAGGTACCTCAATTACAACCACTGAAGCTGAAGAAAGAGTGGTTGATGTAGTCTAGGGTACTCCATTAGTACCTAAGAGAAGAACATAAGAGAACCAGTTAAATATACATACCTGCTCTACAAATGAACCTTAGATGTCTAACTAGAAACACAAAAGTTCTCATCCTCTTGACAACATAATTACTCCCCTAGATTCCAGAGTACAAACCAGGTCAAAAGCCAGAAATTCACTTGCCTTCTCAGCCTTTCTCTCCCAAAGAGAACCCAAATACATCAAGGAAGCCCTGAAAGATGCAGATTGGATTACAGCCATGCAAGATGAGCTGCATCAGTTTGAAAGGAACAATGTTTGGCACTGGTACCTAGACCCTCAAATCGAACCATTATAGGGACCAGGTGGGTATTTAGGAACAAGCTTGATGAACATGGAAACACCACAAGGAACAAGGCTAGGCTAGTGGTTCAAGGCTACAATCAGGAGGAAGGGATTGATTATGATGAAACGTTTGCTCCAGTTGCTTGCATGGAAGATATTAGAATCCTAATCGCTTTTCCATCTCATATGGAATTCACCTTGTTCCAATTGGATGTCAAAAGTGCATTTCTGAATGGACTTCTTAAGGAAGAAGTCTATGTGAAGCAACCTCCAGGGTTTGAATGTCATGAACACCCTGCATATGTGTTTAAACTGGACAAAGCATTGTATGGGTTAAAGCAGGCTCCTCGAGATTGGTATGAAAGGCTGTCAAAGTTCTCCTTAGAAAATGGTTTTAAAATAGGGAAATTGACAACACCTTGTTCCTAAATAAACAGGGAAGGAACCTGCTCATTGTTCAGGTCTATGTTGATGATATCATTTTTGGGGCAACAACTAATTCTCTGTGTGAAGAATTTGCAAAACTCATGGAAAGTGAGTTTGAAATAAGCATGATGGGGAAGCTAAACTTCTTCTTGGGTCTTCAAGTAAAGCAGTCCTCAAAGGGTACATTCATTTGTTAGCATAATTACATCAGGGAGCTCTTGAAGAGGTTTGACATGGAAGCATCAAAGGTGATAGACACTCCCATTGCTACGGCCACTCGACTGGACATGGATGAAACTGGATCTCCTATGAATCAAACTATGTATAGAAGCATTATTGGGTCTCTTCTATATCTCACTGCCAACAGACCTGATATTATCTTCAGTGTGGGGCTATGTGCAAGGTTTCAATCAAATCCCAAGGAATCTCATTTGAAGGCTACCAAAAGAATTTTGAGATACCTTAAGGGAACACATGACCTGGTCCTTTATTACCCCTCAGGTGATAGTTTTAATCTCATTAAATATGCTGATGCTGACTATGCAGGTTATCTTGTGGACAAGAAAAGGACTTATGGAATGGCTCACTTCCTAGGTTCATGTCTCATTTCTTGGGGCACAAGAAAGCAAAACTTAGTGGCTCTTTCAACAGCTGAAGCAGAATATGTAGCTGCAGTATCCTGCTGTGCTTAACTCCTATGGATTAAGCAGTAATTGGATGATTTTGGGGTATTTACTGAGAGTGTGCCCCTTCTATGTGATAACACCAGTGCACTCAACATGGACAAGAATCCAATTCAACACAAAAGGACGAAGCATATTGATGTGAGGCATTACTTTCTGATGGACAATGTGGAGAAAGGGTTGATATGTATGAAGTTCTGCAGCACAGAAGACCAAATTGCAGATATCTTCACCAAAGCATTGAGTAAGGAACATTTTTAAAGAAACAGGGTGAATCTGGGGCTTTTGGAGCCCAATTGAGAACCTGATTCCTCATCATTTGGCTATGAAAATCACCTTCAGGTAAAACTAGCTAAAGTGCTTTCTGGCCAAGTCTAAGTCACTTCAATATCATTGCAGGTAAACACGTATGATGAGTATAGAAGTTGTAGATGCAGTGCATGGATGATAAAAGAGGATTGATATTTTCAGATAACATGTCAAGAACCTGGTTCTTGTACCAAAGGTTAGTAGTTCTGTGCATTATTTAATACACGTCTTGAAAAGGTACAAAAATCAACTGCCATGTCATCCACCTTTTCAGACCCTGCTGTCACGTCTCTTCACTTCAAATCGCTCTATCTCCCTCTGAAACATTGCACTTCTCCACGCACAACCGCCATTTCATAACCGGTTCCTATCTCTCTCTTCATAATTATCCATTCTAAATAAAACTTTTCTCCTTTCTCCACAAACCATAAGTCCTCCATTAGAACTTCTCCAAAGCACCTTCACTCCATCTTTTCAATGGCTGATACAAACTCCGACATCCCTGCCTCAGTCATCCCTAATACTGAAAAACCTATGGAGTCCTCTGTCCTTACTGAGTCTTCTGTAACCACTCCTGCTCTCCCTGCTGAAATCACACCTAACCCAAATTTCCCGTCTCTCTCTATCCCAGAAACCCCTAAAATTGTTGGTCTGTCCTCTCTATCTTCTGAGGTTCCCACTGATCAAAGAAAAGGTGAAGAACAAGGTCAAAGTCCTGAGGTCGCAGAGGGTTCCGCCATTGTTGTTGCAGATTCTGTGGTGGCAGTGGTGCCGATTGAGGAAGAAAATATCGTAACCATCTTTGTGGTATCTGCTGACGGTGTCCTGCATGAGATAATTTCTCAGAGAAACGAGGTACAAGGTATGGGGGAAGAAGGAGCCATAGTGACTTTTGAGGGCTCTGCACTAGCAGAAACTACTGGGCCCTCACATGAGGAACCTAATCCCTCTCCGGAGGACATAGGTCAGGGTTCTCATTCCCAGGCCAGTTCTGCTCTTGCGTTTGCTGTTGCGCCTTTGGATATTCAAGCTCCTGAGATGAGGTCTAGCAATAAGGAGGATTTATACAACCTGGCTCTTGATGCATTCATAGTCAAGCGAAGGGTGGTGTCCACTCCTGAGTCTTCCACCAAGCAACCTACTACCAAGTTGCAAGCAAAGGTAGCCTACGACTTTGCCCTTCAAAAGAGCAGAAAAAGTAGTAAGAAGCAAAGGAGGAGGTTGGTGAAAGACAATGTGCCAGTGTGTGATAAAGTTGTCCCTGTGGTAGAAGTGGAAGAGGAAACACTAGAGGAACCTGGTTCCTTGGTGAGACGGTCGCAGAAAAAGAAGTAGCCTGCTTCAGTAGAGAGAGTTTCAACCCCCAGTTCCAAGTTAAAGGATGTTGTGAGTGAGCCCTCAACTTTTGATGAGGATATGTTAGTCAAGTCTAAGGTAAAAGAGAAATCAAGTGGTGGGAAGTCTGGCAAACGAAAGTCTGAAATTGTTAAGGAACCTGGTTCTGTGAAAAAGCTGAGGAGTGAAAGTAGTTCTACTTCAGAATGTCTAAGTCACCAAAAGGTTCTGCTGGGTCATACTTTTGACCTAGCAATCTCTGATATGGCTGGTATGCGACAAGTTCTTGAGATGGTTGAGTTTCAAAGATGGGGGCATCTATTCCAAATGTATGCACCTAAAGTGTATGAGGATGATGTTCAAAGCTACTTTGCTAGCCTCTTTCCTGTTGATACTGACCATATTTGTGCTTTGGTGAATGGAGTAGACATCTTGTTCGATGTGAGTCTGCTTGGGGATATTCTTAAGGTCCCTACAGTTGGTGTGTCTAGTGTGAAAGATGTGTGTGGATCTAACTTCCGGAATGTTGTGGTAAAGGAAAATTCGAACCAAAAGGGGAACCAGATTCACAACAAAGGCATTGCTCCCTATTTATCAGTTGCTCTTCGAACTGGTGAACAAAGTTTTGTTGCCTCGTGCTGAGAGGACGTCCATGACTTCTACATCTGATCTATTTCTAATGGAACAACTAGATAGCTTCAACCATGTGAACTTGCCTATTATCATGATTGAACATATGCAGAAGGCAACAACCTTCATATATGGCAATCATGGTCTTCCATACGGGTTTATACTTACTCAAGTGTTCAAATTTTTCAAAGTGCCACTGGGGCAAAGCAAGGTAGGAACCAAGAAGCAGACTTTCTCACAGACAACGTTGGAAGAATGTGAGTGTATAGAGAAGAATGGGGGGGTTAGGAAGTACATCAACCATCTCACAACTCATTAATGCTCAAAATAGCGCAACTGAGGAGATTCGAAGGTTGAAATCTAGGAATGCTATTCTGGAAGGTCAGCAAGCCCAAGGGGCTCTGGTGTCAAATGATGAAGTGGCTCTTTTTACACAAGAGAATGCTGACCTGAGGGCACAAGTGGAGAACCTGAAAGCAGAACTGCTCAATGAGCAAAAGTCGACCAATGCCCGAATAGACTTAGTTCTCCAAACTCTTGTTGCAGCTTCCAAGCCCTCTACTCCTAGTGCCCCTTAAGTACCCCTTTAGTGACCAATTTTTGGATTGTCTCTTTTAAGTTTTTTTTTTCCGTGGCAAATGTTTTGTTTCTTTTTTTTTGAAGTGGTTGGGATGTAACAGTAATGCTCCCGTCTTTAACAGTCCAATTGTGCCTTTGCTTTTAAGCAAAGGCATATGCTTTTATATATATAAAATTTATCCTCTTTTATTATCTCATTGCTTGAATTTTCTGCTTCTCTTCTCTATCATGTTGTGTGCACATATATGGCATGCGTTAGCTAGGGTAGACTTCTTTATGTTGTTTGACTGCTTGTGTCTTTTTAATGATGCCAAAAGGGGGAAGTATAATTTGAATCAAGGATCTGATTAAGGGGGAAGCATAAAGTCAGGGGGAACTTGTGAAGCTCCTGTTACTTTATCTGGTTCTCTTTGCTCTCAATACATGTTATTAATACCTAATTTTGTCATCATCAAAAAGGGGGAAATTGATGGGTTTTCAATGTCATTGCCTTATGTTTTGTTAATCTAACAAACTTACTGTCAAGAACCAGATAGGGAACCTGACACACTTGGGCTATATTGCAAATCAACGGATTCCAGCTAAATGTGAACTGCTATAGCTTCAGGAGATAGAGAACCAAACAAGGACCTGATACCCTTGTGGTTCCCTCATATCAGTACGAGGTCAATTGGACACAGCTAGAAGCGATGTGACTGCCTGCACTGCACTGTTTCCAGCGGTCACTTGTCCTTTGATCAACTAAAGTGCTTACATCATTCAATTGATGTCATCAAGGTGTATTAACAAGGCGATTATATCAAAACATCACTTGAACACTTAGAATTCACTTCAAGCATTCAAGCCTTCTGCAAAACAGTGAAATTAATTCTTAAGAGCTTGAAGAACAAAGTTAAACGCTACTACGAACCAGTTCCTAAATCTAATATTTTGTTGTCCTTAGTTGAGTTGTAACTTTGTGATTTTTCTTATTGTAATTCCTAAATTGCTTAGCTTGAAGCACTGATTAGGAGCCCCTTTGTAAAATCATAAACTCTCTGAGTTTGTGTTGTGACTAGAGTTAGTCATAAGTTAAAGTCTTTGTAACTAGAGAGTGACAAAGTAGCTTGTGGTAAGAGTATCACAAGTTAGTTGAGTTGAAGTCTTTGTAATAGAGTCATTACAAAGTGACTTATAATAGGTGTTTACAAGTTAGTGAAGTTGAAAGTCTACAAGTGTAGGTCGTGGTTTTTGTCCCCTTGAGTTGATATTTTTCCACGTAAAAATCCTGTGTCTTATTTACTTACTGTTTTATTAGCATTCTCAGTAAAAACTCATAGAGGACCAGATACTCTATTATTTGGTGGACTCATATAAATTAACAGGGAGCAAAGCAAAATTAAGTACTCTGGGTAAAATCGTAGAAGCATGTAATATATTGATGGACAATTACCTCTCGAAGATTATGATTTCCAAGAAACTTTGTGTTTTATCTTAGTTTGGTCCGAACCATAAGATTTTTTTTGTAGAGCCAAAATGCTTTATTCTCTGACATTCCATATTATTTGTGAACTCAATGATCAAGTGATATATATGGTGTAGCAGCGATAACAATAACAATAATAAGAAGTTACCAAAAAATAACAATAATAAGACAATAGAACTGCAAGTGTCATAGCTATTGAGAAAATGATCCTCTATAGCCCCTCAAGATTTTAATAGCCCATATTTTTTTCCATTGACATAATATGTTCCTCCTGCCCAAAAAATATTATATCTAATAGCCCGAAATGTCTATTTTGTATATTTTTTGTATAGTGACAATCTATTTTGTATATTTTAGTATAGTGACAGTTTATTTTGTAAATATTTTGTAGAGTGACAGTCTATTTAGTATATTTTTTGTATAGTGCAGTATATTTTGTATACATTTTGTATAGTGACAGTCTATTTAGTATATAGAGGGTATAGTGATAGTCTGTTTTGTATAATGACCGTCTATTTAGTATATTTTTTGTATAGTGCAGTATATTTTGTATACATTTTGTATAGTGACAGTCTATTTAGTATATAGAGGGTATAGTGATAGTCTGTTTTGTATAATGACCGTCTATTTAGTATATTTTTTGTATAGGGACAGTCTATTGTATATATTTCGTATAGTGACAGCCTATTGT